AAAAAAAAAAAAAAAAAAAAAAAAAAAAAAAAAAAAAAAAACACCTCATCCAAAAAATGTGCACATTCCCCCCATGTGTATTTAAAAAAAAAAAGAAAAAAAAAAAGGGTCTACCTTGCTCTCCTCCCCTTTTGCTTTACCCCTCTTCCTTCCTCATCTTGCATAATTCATTGCTTCCCCTTCCTTTTATTTATTTATTTATTTATTTAAAGGTCCCCTTCCAATCCTGCTCTCAAGAGTCTCAACCTCCTTTCCGAAGTTTCCTGTTATAGTATCCACAATACCACATTATGTCCTTCCTACCTTTTTCTTGTGTTTATTTGTCTGAATAATTATAACAGTAAGAATTATTTTTTTCTGAATGGAAATAATAAATAAAATAATAATGTAGATTATGTAGTGATATTATAATCATTAAAGTACTGTCGGTCCGTACCTGGCCTCCATCTCATGCAACTTCGACGCTTTGTCGTTTGCCTCTCGACGGCTATTCTCTAAATCTCTTTCCAATGCCCTCACTTTTTCTTCCCTCTCTTTTTCAAACAATGCGTTGTGTTCCTGGGTCAACCAACAATTGAGGAAAAGACAAACAAAAATTACGAATTTAAAAGAAGAAAGAAAGCATGGTTTGAAATTTGATTGCAGGCACCTGCAGGATGGCATATAAAGGATGTGAATCATACGGTTGCTGGAAAGCGAGTCCAGCGTCCCAGTTGAGTGCGATGTGAACATGATCATGCTATACCCGTGATCATGATGGGGCCCACAAAGAGGCTGGAAACAGTCTGGCATGCGAGCTGTTGTCCTCGATCCGGACGCTTGGTGATTTCTTGATTCCTGTTTTCATGTTTCTGCGAGGTAAGCAAACCGGGCAGTAGTCCACATTGGTGCTAGTGGACGTTATGCTACTGCCCACATTGGTGCTAGTGGATGTTATGCCTTCCTTGCTAAGCGTTGAGTCCAACTGCTTGAAAGCTCGAAGGCATGGCCGTAATAAGATTTAGCGTCAGTCCAATACTGCTGGGCAGATGGTCGACTTCTTTTTGTAGTTTAACGGTCTTAGGAATCATTCATAGACAGAATTAGCTCAAAATGTGCGGCTTTACTCTCGTGGAGGACATAATGTGCTGAAACGTAAAGTTCGGAATGCGTGAACACACTCAAGTACCGCCCCCTTCTGTCTCGCCCACTCAGGCGACGAACCAATCTCCGTACATACTTAAATAGTAAATACTCATGTCCCCGCAGTCCTCTCACAATCCCAATGTCCAGGTCGTATGTCCTCGTAATGTGCTGAAACGTAAAGTCCGGAATGAGTGAACGCACTCCAGTATCGACCCCTTCTGTCTCGTCCACTCAGGCGACGAACCAATCTCTGTACATACTTAAATAGTAAATACTCATGTCCTTGCGGTCCTCTCACAATCCCAATGTCCAGGTCGTATGTCTTAATAATGTGCTGAAACGTAAAGTCCGGACTGAACAACGTGCGTTTAGGGCATCAGGCCCCGCCGTGTACGCACGGCCTTGAACCGGCACCCCCAGCCTCAAGAAAGAAGTCTCCTAACCACTACAATCCTTGGAGGTGTTATAACAACCACATCCATACCGGTCGTGATATCCAGCCCACCCCCAGGGCTGTAGCGTCCTTGAACTCACACCACACACACACAAGACCACACCACGGACACGGCAATCAACACACTCTGCTCGTACAACACACAGCCCCACCAACGCTACTTAACCTGGTCACTCCAAGACGGGCCAACTTACCGACGGGTTCCACAGGTGCCTTCCAGTAGTTACTGAACAACGTGCGTTTAGGGCATCAGGCCCTGCTGTGCACGCATGGCCTCGAACCGGCACCCTCAGCCTGAAGAACGAAGCCTCATAACCACTACAAGATCATCGCAGATCCGTTGAGGCTTGAAAAAAACACATCTGTTCTCCATCATTCCCTACCACATTTAGGCACCGCCCAACCATCATGGCAGAATGCCGCCAACTAAAGTACCTATGTGAGTACTGCATAGGAATTGAACTCGAACTATCCTCTGTCGGTCGTTCATTAGGCTGTTCCTTCGCGATTCCCGAGAAGGAACGGCCGAATAGTCCAACAATAGTGTTGGGCAGGTGCCCAACTTCTTTTTGTCGTTTAAATTGTGAAAACAATCATGTCCCTAACATGATTTTGTGTCAGGCCAATGCTGCTGGGCAGGTGGCCAACTTCTTTTTGCCGTTTAGCAGTCTTAGGAAAATGTGAAAACAATCATGTCTGTAATGTGGTTTTGTGTCAGTCCAATAGTGCTGGGCAGGTGCCCAACTTCTTTTTGTCGTTTAAAAGTCTTAGGAAAATGTGAAAACAATCATGTCGGTAATGTTTTTTTTTTTTTTTTTGTCGGTAATGTGACTTTATGTCAGTCCAATACCTGTCTCTTATACACATCTAGATGTGTATAAGAGACAGCGTCTGTAATGTGGTTTTGTGTCAGTCCAATAGTGCTGGGCAGGTGCCCAACTTCTTTTTGTCGTTTAAAAGTCTTAGGAAAATGTGAAAACAATCATGTCGGTAATGTTTTTTTTTTTTTTTTTGTCGGTAATGTGACTTTATGTCAGTCCAATACCGCTGGGAAGGTACCCAACTTCTTTTTGCCGTTCAACGGTCTTAGGAAAATGTGAAAACAATCATTCTGGAGAAACTTGTGGCAAAGTACGGTAGTGGACACATGTACACCACCACTACCTTTACCAGGCAGCGTCGAGAATCGAAAATGTAACATTCCGGGTTCTTCGGAGGGGCTTGGGGCCACTGGACCCAGATGGGTGGCGGTTCCAGGCAAAACAAACAAACAAAAAAAGTCATGCTGGCGCTTCGGCGAAGCTTGGCACACAGGGGGGGTCTGCCTTGGCCAAAAGAGCCTCAGAGGTAGTGGGGGGGTGTAAGGGAAACCAAATAGACCAGTCTAGAGGGAGAATATTCAATATACATGGGGTAGTGCACCTGATAACGCCCAAAAACTTGCGCAACAGCCACTCGACGTATCGTTGAATAGTAGTGCACACCATGATTTCGGCAAAACTGGGCCATTACCAGCACATATGGGGCTCTAGCCTGATGGCTTTCTGGCTATTCGGAATAGAAGTGGTAGTCCGCTTTTCGCAGCCCAAACTGGTTACTTGCTGCTGTGGCTGACGATGCCTACTATCCATCAATGATAGTTGTCATATCATCATCATAGTTGTCATATCATCATCATCATCATCATTGTTATCAGGCCAGCAGGACTTTGTTTGAGGGTTTGTCAACTTTTTCTTAACAGTCCCATGGACCTCATGGCATTGCGAGACAATTGGGAAAGGGGGGAGGGGAAAGAGGGTAGACAATGGAGAACCACATGTGGTCTATAGCTCTCTTATTCCAGGTCAGCACTGCACAGGGCAGCAGGTGCTACGCCAGTTATGATCCAGGTTAGCATTGTACAGGGCTGCAGGCCCAACCCCAGTAAGGAGCGGTGTGCAGGGTTGCAGACCCTACCCCAGTTATGATCCAGGTTAGCATTGTACAGGGCCGCATGCCCTACCCAGGTAATGTACTGAAGCTATGTACAGAGCTGCATGCCCTACCCCAGTAAACGCCATCGTGTTTCCCCCC